TTATTAAGGTCGGCATTAAAAGGTTTTCATTGTTTTCACATTTTTCCCATTGAATCTGTTTTTCTCAAATATTTCCTTAAAAATTCAGAAATATGCAATAACAGATGCAGACTTTTGTGGAGAATTTTTTAAGTTAGTTTAAATATTGACCAAACTATTAATTAAAAAATTTCGTCATTTTTTCTTTTTTTTACCGTTGCAGCTGAATGATCGAGTTGATATATTTTTTTTTAATTAAGCACCGACAAGGCAAGCTTATTTGAAAAAAGAGATTGGCAGATTTGCATAGCTTAAGATTTGCTATCTTTCAATAAATAAATCAATACTTTTCATGCGCGGGAAGTGAGTGAAAAAAAGAAAATCGTTCAGTGCAATTTATTCTGGCCCACCCGTTAGAATAAATATTTTTAGGTAATTATGTCTTTTATCAATAATGATGATCAAATGATATCATCATCATTTGCCAGAAAAGAGCCAGTCTCAATCCATCTATAGTCAATGACTTTTTACTGATTCTATCGATCGCAGTTCATTCAAAGATCCAAGTATAAGCTTTGTCTAAACTTTTTGGTAATAATTTGATTAATTATGTAAGATAAATAACCGAAAAATTTTCTTCCGGTTTCACGGGGTCGGCGCGGGGCCCGTGAAAGAATACACCGGCGGGCGGGACGGTACAGAAAGCTTGCTTACACGGGAGCGAGCGAGGTAGGGTAGAAATTTAATGGGGCACGGGCGGGGAGGGGGATGCTCAGAAAAATTTTCTACGGGGATCGGCGAGCCGGGTTTAGCGTTCGCGCGGGGCGGGTCCTAAAAAATCGATGCCCCGCCCACCTCTGATTCCAATAGACAAGGTCTTTACAGCACATAGTCATAGACAAATAATCTGTCTAAAAGTGTGCAACGTAGGATTCATAGAATTGGCAGCAAGCATAGAGTCGAAAGTAGAATATTTCCTTCGTTGCAAACAGCTCGCAACATTTCTATCTTAACACAATCTATATCCTAAAAGTAATCTTTTAGGAACAAATTCATGACTCCAACAGCTATACGTGAAGGTGAATTTTCTGCTGTAAAGATCTATTTCTATTAATCAATTTCGTGGGTGCATCTGTTGCCTTGCAAGATTCCTTCTGTTTTTCAATCCTTACTCTTTCTATGCAGCGTGATGAATGCAGCGTTCGCGATTCTTACTACGACGAAGTAAAAAATGAAATATTTATCGAAGCTCAAGCCATCTCCTCCTTCAAACAAGAGAAATGAAACAAGGTCGCTTCTTTGACGACGTCCTGAATAGTATTAAAAAATCCTTTCAGCAAAAATTGTGTCTGTACAAGAGCAGCCGCTCTCTCTGCATTCAACATTCAAGGCTATGGGTGTGCATGTGCGTGTTTATTTATTCTCAAATCATACCTACACCCACACCCTCACTCACAGTGCTGTGTTTGAATATTAGTCCCCTAGATAAGTTAGTAATTCCGGTACGAAATTCCGGGAATTCAGTGAAGACGGAATTACACGGAATTCCTTCCAATTCCGCAATTAGGGGTGGTGTGGGTGTTAGGGTGTGGGTGTAGGTGCAGGTCTAGATGAAGAAAAGATAAACACACACCCACACCAACACCAACACCGTATATTGATCATTGGACAAATTAAATCGTGATGGTTCGGGATTGTTATAATAATAATAATTATCATTGACTGAGATTTGACAACATTGTTTCTTGCCACAACATAACAAAGCTTGTGGTAAATATAGATATTGACGACCACAACAACAACCTAATGCCTCTAGAACAGGATCAATAGATTCAACAAATAATTCTGCAAGTTTTGAACATATTCCATAGATAGGTGTTGTTTTTTCATTAGAAAGCCATATATTATTAAATGTAAGCCATGCATCATCACAGAATTCTAATGGATTTTTATATTCTCCACGTAATACTTTATTATGTATGGTTGATATATCGATTGAATGTTTAATTATTATTGGATAATCA